AGACATTCAGCAGGTTGGGGAGCAGAGGGTCCCCAGGACTCCTGCTGTGCACTGGGAGTCATCTATCCAGCTCTTGGCTTCTGGGCATCAGGTCTCAGCCTGGGAGATAGGCTGGTGCAGGTTGGGGCTGCTGTCCTGGGTGTAGATGGCAGGGAGGCTCCCATGTGGACGACCTTGCGACCTGGGCCATGGAGCCTCCTGGGAGCCCTCTGGGAGCTGTGATCATTCCTGCCCTGCCCAGCCCTGCCTTCTGAAATGCTTTGGCCCTGGATAATGAGGCCACAGTGTGTACTTGAGGTGCCCCTGCCTCCTACCTCATTTTATTTTTATTTTATGTTATTTTATTTTGTCTTCAGACAGAGTCTCCCAGTGTTGCCCAGGGTGGTCTTGAACTCCTGAGCGCAATAGATTCTCCTGGGTCGGCATCTGGAGGAGATGCCAACATCACCTGACCTCCCCCCCGCCTTTTTTTGTGGGGGGACAGGGTCTTGTTATGTAGTTCAGGCTGGCCTTGAACTCATTATGGAGCCCAGGCTGGCCACAAATTCAAGGTGATTCTCCTGCCTCAGCCTCCCAAGTGCTAGGATTACAGGCATGTGCCACCATGCCTAGCCTCCCACCCCATTTCAGTACATTAGTACCTGCAAAGAATGACCAACAAGAGATGAATTTTATTTATTTATTTATTTATTTAGGTACTGGGGACTGAACTCGGGTCCTTGCACTTGCGCAGCAGGCGGCAAAACCACTGAGCTAAATCCCCGGCTGAGATGAATTTTATACATTTGTGATTTTTGCTTTTTCCACTCTTCAGAGTAATTTTGGTAGCTGGGTGTGGTGGCACAGGCCAGCAATCTCAGCACTCTGGGAGGCTGAGTCAGGAGGATCACAAATTCAAGCCTAGCCTGGGCAGCTTACCAACTTAGCAAGACTAAGTCTCAGAATGAAAAATAAAGTGTGAAGGGCCAGCCTAGGTTAGATCTCCAGTACTGAGGGGCCGGGGATTTAGCTCAGTGGTTCTGGCACCTGCCTCCCAGCACAAGGTCCTGAGTTCGATCCCTGGTACCCCCCCCCCCCCCCCGCCAAAAAAAGTCTCCAGTACTGGAAAAAAATTGAGCCTCAACCCTAGGCCTGCCTATGACAAGTGCTGAGTCTGCAGGCTTTGGACCTGTGAGCAGCCCAGCAAAAAGTCCCAGGGCACAGGAGGTTGTGACCGAAGCAAATGGCACAGGCACTGGCAGAGTGATGGGTGGGGTCTGGGCACCAGAGCCTGAAGCGCTTGTGGCCTTGTGTCCATGAGTCACACCTCTCCTTCACCACAAGCTCAGCTCGAGGGTGATCGAGAGGACGCATTTTAACACCAGTGGGGAGTGACCACCTGCTGACCTCATAGCCAGATGTGATGATGTATGGATATAGTCCCAGCACTCTGGCAGGCTGAGGGAGAAGAACTGCAAATTCAAGTCCAGCCTGAGCAACTTAATAACTTAAGGGGAGCCTATCTCAGAATTTACAAAGGGATAGGGATATAGCACAGGGTAAAGGTCCTGGGTTCAAACCCCAGTACCACAAAAAGAAAAAAGTAATAATCACTTAATTTCCTCAGTAATCCACACTTCTGTTTTTTGGCCCTCAAGTTGGGATGCAGCATTCACTTAAAATTTGCAGTGGTTGGGGATTTAGCTCAGTGGTGCTGTCGCCTGCCTCAGAATCGAAAAGTCCTGAGTTTGATCCCCGGTACCAAAAAAAAAAAAAATCTGCAGTGGTGTCCAGTGTGTCTCATTGGATGAACTGGAGTCCCAGAAGGCTCTGCCTGCCTCAGCCACCTCTGTCTCTTTGGAGTGAGCTCTACTTTACTGGCCTGGTTGAGCATGCAGAGCTCAGGCAGGTGGCAAAATCCTAGGAGAAGCCTTTCCCAGCCATTGTCTTGGGGCTTGGGATGCAGGCTATTTATGCTTTGATGGAGAGTATTGCAGTGGTGAGGAGGGTCCACCTTACCTTCTCAGGAGGCCGGGTGTGGATGTGTGTGTGCGCATGCCAGCATGTGTGTGCACTTGGGCAGTGTCAGCTTCTTCCCACAGGCCTTGCTTGGCCTTGGGATCTGCAGTTACGGCGGGCCTCGGAGATTGGACTTTAATGTCGCTGGGTTTATTTTTGTAGCCCATAAATATGTGGACTTGGAGTCCTAGGTCATCGATCTCTGCCTTCATGTCAGGTTCCTTTCCTTTGTGCTGTTCTGGGAACTTGGGTGTAGCTCAGGACATCCAGAGATGCAGGCACCAGCACAGCTTTGGCCCCAGAGGACTCAGTGATGTGTTGCACATAAACTAAATGAGAACGGCTCTTTTTTTCTTCCAGTTTTTTTCTTTTCTTTTTACAGCTGGACTCCACTGTGCATGCTCGTAATAGCAGCATATTGGAAGGGTGCAGCAGGGGGATGCCCAATGGGAGTGACTGAGTGAGATCCTATCTCAAAAATAAAACTGGGATGGAGATGTAGCTCAGTGTGAAGACCCTCTGGGTTCAATACCCAGTCCCCAAAAAGGAAAAAAAGTGATTTTTACGCAGGTGTTTGGGTTTCCTGTGCAGTAGGCAGTGGGGTGTTCCTCTGCTGCTTCCTCACATGTCCCTGGAGATCCCAGTGCGTGTGGTTGGTGTTGATGGACAGCAGGCTGTCGGGGGCCTCTGGTCACAAATAGCACTCGGTGAATGTGCTTTGTGGCTGCAGCGGGGAGCCAGGCATGTCCCCTAGGCGTGTGTCTGGAGAGAGGTGTGTGGCTTGCCCAGTGTCCACGCCTTCGCCTGCTGAGCACTGGAGGCTTCTTCACTGTCCGCCATGGAGGTGAGCAGCTCCGCGGGCAGCGGTGGGTCTGAGTTTGTCTTTCCTCCTGTGTCATCGGGCAGCTGTTGCTTCACCGTTCCCCAGACAGTGACTTTTCCTGCTGCATGCGCTGTGCTGCTGGGGGTAGAGCCATGCGTTGAACGGGCCACACCTCCCCATGTTGTCCTGCGCCATGTGGAGAGAGTGGCTCGCAAACCTTTGAACTCACCCAGTGGGGCAGGTGAGTAGTACCATCTGCATTTTGTTTCCCATGTGAGTGAGATTGGGCCTTTTTGTTTTTGTTTTTTTTGTACTTGGGCTTGAACCCAAGACCTTATTTCGCACTAAGCTTCATTCCTGGGCTTTTTGTTTAAAGAAGGAGTCTTAGTAAGTTGCTCAAGCTAGGCTCAAACTTGGTATCGTCCTACCTCTGCCTCCCAGAGTGCTGGGATTATAGGTGTATAGCAACATGCTCAGCTGGGCATCTTTTCACAGAGTATGTCAGGGTCATATGCTTTTCTGTGACCTTTGTGTTCATGCCACTGTCCTTTACAGTGGTGTCGCTTCATAGTAGCTCTAGTGGCTCTTAGTCTCAGTGGGGCTGAATGAGTCCATTGTGGGGCCGTCCTGTGCTACATGTCAGGGTGTCAGAAGTGTCCCTGCTTCTGGCAGTAGAACCATCACCCACAGCCAGATGTGTTTCAGATGTTTCCAGATACCCCAAGTTACAGTAAAAACATTTGGAAAAATCTTTATACGGTGGTGCTTTTTCCCCCATTTCTTACTTTTTGTCTGTCTTTTTCGGAGCTGGAGTTCAAACCTGGTGCCTCCTGGGAGCTCTGTGAGTGCCCTGCCTCTGAGCTGCCTCCCTGCCCCAGTGCTTGTCTCTATCCTATCTGTATGGTGCTGGTGCTGGTGCTGGTGCTGGTGCTGGTGCTGGTGTGGGAGAGTTGAGATGCTGATGGATGGAGGCGCCCCTGAGCCCTTAGGGTTCCTTTCTGAGAGAGACAATGTTTAGAAATACAGAGCTGGGAGGGAAAGTTAAGTATACTTTGGACCTAAGAAGATCCTGCCTCCTGTACCAAGCTAACTTGGTTGCCTGTAGCCTGTGTGGCAGATTTAAAACTGGCTGTCACTGACCCTGCAGTGGGGTGTCTGGTCTGTGGGTGGCCTCTCCTTCTCTTGGTGCAGGGTGCCACTGTCGCTTGTGCTGCTCCTCGCTCTGCTGCCCATCAGCCTGGGCTCCACACTTTCCCAGGGTGTCAGACATACACAGGCGCAGTGTCCCCAGTTGTACCTGCCGGGTCATGGGTGAGCAGCTGCAGCTGTTGTGGCTTCTTGCCCTCGGCAGGGCCCTCCTGTGTGCTCAGTCTGGGTTGCCAGGCCAGTGTCATGGGCCACTGGAACACTCATGGGAGAGGGTCCTGGCGGGCAGTTCAGGTTGGCAGCTGCTGCAGCAAACAACAAACCTCAACAGGTTTCTTACTTCACCTATGAACCAGGACGTTGGTCAGGTGATGGAAATGTCCACATGTCCAGGTGGTGGTCAGTCCTTCTGTAGAGGAACAGGATTAAACAGCTGCAGTGTTCACACGTCACCTAACAGCAGATTCTGGTGTTTTTGTTTTTTGGGTTTTTTTGGTACCAGGGATTGAACCTGGGACCTTGTGCTTTCGAGGCAGGTGGCGGAACCACTGAGCTAAATCCCTGGGCTGTTTCACCTAGTTTTTGTATACCTTGCTGTATAATTTTTTTCCAGTTTTTTTGTTTGTTTTGTTTTTAAAGACAGTATCTGGTTATGTAGCTCAGGCTGGCCTCTCTTGGTGATCCTTCTGCCTCAGTCTTTCAAGTGTTGGGACTATAGGTGAGCACCATCATGCCCAGCTATAATTATCAAACAAATTTTTAAATATTTAAAGTTATATTAAAAATTTAAACACGTGCCTATAATCTCAGCACTTGAGAGGTTGAGGCAGAAGGATTGGTGAAAGTTCAAGGCGAGCCGAAATTATATAGCAAAACCCTGTCTCAAAAAACAAATACATAAATAAAAATAAAAACTTTAAAATATCTTTTCTAATATTAATGAAGTTATTCTGTCCATTCTCAGCTCATGGTTTGGGAATCTGTGTTTGTCTTAACCCATCTGTGATGCTCCTTCTCCTTTTGTGTCTTCCAGCAAGCGAGGCTTCAGCGTCCGGTCCTTCGGAACAGGAACTCACGTGAAGCTCCCAGGACCTGCACCCGACAAGCCCAATGTCTATGATTTCAAAACCACATATGACCAGATGTACAATGACCTTCTCAGGAAAGACAAAGAACTGTATCCCAAGGCTGCCCCTGTAGAGCCCAGAGGGTCTTCTGGCAGGTGTGGTCTGTGCCCGATGTGCCGCCCTCTGCTCTGCAGGGAGGTGCTGGGTGACGGGCGGCGTGGTGTGCTGGCACGAGCACTGTGTGTGTTCACTGGCACTCGGTGTCCTTCCTGCTGCCCACTGGCAGCTCGAGCTAGACCATTTGTGGCAGTGGGGGTGTGAGGCTGAATGGCAGGCCCAGAGGAGCCCTGTGCTGACAAGGTCAGGCCGAGGTGCTGATGAGTCACTGGGGGCTTGCAGGGGCGAAGGAAAGCACGGGCCTGGTGTGCGTCCCTCTGCAGGGCGGTGCATGCAGCTCTGACACAGTGGGCTGTGCCTGCCCCAGGGTCTGTGAGAGCCAGATGAAGAAAGCTGTGTTGGTCACCAGAGGGAGTGTGATAGAAGCAAGTCAGGAGGACACAAAGAAGTCCAGGCCTGCTACTCAGACTCGTGAGAAGGAAAGGTGTTTTTAAAGTAGCCTTCTACGACTGTGACACCAAGTCGTGTGTTTCATGACTGCTTCCACACAAGTTAAACTTTTCCAGGGCTAGGGCTGTAGCCCAGCGGATGAGTGGATGAGGCTCTGCGTTCAGTCTCTAGTACTGCAAACAAAACAAAACAAACCCTGAGCCACCTTGTGCTTTGTAGTAATCAGAATGAAGCTCAAACATACTCCAAGCAAATGAATATCAACATCAAATGGGAAATGGTTTGTCTCTACTTTGGCAATTTTTTTTTGAGACAGGGTCTCACTATACAGTTGAGGCTGGCCTTGAACTCACTGTGGTCCTCCTGCCTCAGCCTCCTGAGTGCTGAGATTATAGATGTGTATCACCACTTCTGGCACTTTGGCAGTTTTGCAGTTTTTAATAAACTAAAAATGAAGTTGGACATAGTGGTATGTGCCAGTAGTCCCAACTACTTGAGAGGTAGAGGCAGGAGGAGCCCAAGTTGAAGACCAGCTTGGACAACTTAGTAAGAGTCTATCTCAAAAGTAGTGTTTAATAAATAAAATGTCTTTGAATATATGTTGGTTAATTAGGTAGCAGGGAAGGCCTCAAAGGTGATTCTAGCAAAATGTAAACCTGATGGTCAGGCATCTTGTACCTTCCCTTGCATCCCTCCCTGAGCTGCAGAGGGAATGCTGGTGAGGACCGGCGTAGGAACATGGGTGTTTCCTGTCAGCACCTGTTGCCATGGGGCTTGCTGGGAGCCTGAGTCCAGGCTGCAGTGCCTGTAACACTGGTCTGGCTGGTGGCTCCCTGGGAATCTCAGCCCAGTTTGGAAGCCAGGGCCTGTGCTGGGGAAGATGTCCCCACAGCCACTGGTGCTGCCTGCTGGGCACGGCTGAGGCTCTGCTCCCGTGACAGCTGCGCCACACCTTGGACACTTCTGCCTGGAAGCCCCTCTGCTGGGAGTGTCAGCCCCACACTGCTTCCTTCTGTCCCCGGCCTCACAAAGAACCATGAAATCGCTTTCTGGGAATCTCATTTGGGGGCTAAGTGCTTCCGTTAGCCCTGGAAAAGACTCAGGGAAGAAAGAAAATGAAAATCATTCTTCAGTTAGTGTATGTGGGGCCGGAGTGAACATATTCTTCAGTTAGTAGGATTCAGCCTCGGGCCTTTGCACTGAACTGGTTTCACTAGGTCACTAAGTTGGTTGTCGAGGATGGGACTATACTTATCAGTCCTCTCTCCTCAGCCTCCTACAAGGCTAGGATTGTAGCCACATGGCTGGTACTATTCAGTTTTGTGTTTTGTTTTTGAGACAGGGTCTCACTATGTAGTTTGGGCTGGCCTTGAACCCACAGCAGTCCTCCTGCTTCACCCTCCCAAGTGGTGGGATTAGAGGCATGTGCCACCACACCCAGTTGTTTTACCATTCAGTTTTGAAGCTCTTGTATTCCATGAGAGAAATAAAAACAGGTCATAGTGCATAGATTGATACTCCCTTAATACTGTAAATCAAGTCTTTTCATCCGCCGACTGGCCTCCATTTCTGGGTGGGGCCGCACTTCCTGGCTAGTGTCATGAGTCAGGCTGGAGGGACCTTCGGAGGGAGATGATGCCCCGGGATTCTGAGCCCCCCACTGGGGGCTGCACACAGTAGCTCCCCACATGCACCCACCCGTCCAGAAGCAGCTGCACTGTGCGCATCTGAGCTCGTGGTGCCTTGGGACCTAGGGGAGCTGGCAGCTGGTTTGGAAGCTCAGGGACTAAGTCACCCCCGTGTTTGCCTCTTGGCAACGCTCTGTCAGTCAGCCTTGGCTGGGGATTTAGCTCAGTGGTCCTACCGCCTGCCTCGAAAGCGCAAGGTCCCGAGTTCGATCCCCAGTACCAAAAAAAGAAAGTCACCCTTGGGAGGCTCTGAGATGGCACCTTTGCTGGCTTCTTTCTTCGCGGGGCTCCACCTTGGGGTAGGGCTTCTCCGTGGAGCCAGGAAGTGCTTAGCTACCCTGCTTTCAGCACTGCCCTCGGCCAGCAGAGGAGGGCATCTCTGGGGAGCCCAGTGGATAGCAGGCAGTCTGGCTAAGGTGAGGCACCGAGTAGGTTCAAGCACACCCCACAGAGGGATGGAGGCGGGGCTTGGTGCCGTGGGCTGGGTGATGCCCCGTGACAGTGCAGGAGGGTGCCTGGGCAAAGCTGCTTGGAGTGCATCTCTGGCCGGAGCCTGCTGCCAGCACTACTCAGCGTGGATGTGAGAGCCGAGAGTTTGCGAATCTTTAATAGATTAACTCGGTGTACAGAAGTGACAGTTACTATAATCTGTAGTGGAGAGGTAAGGTGATTTTTTTTTTGGTACTGGGGATCGAACTTGGAACCTTGCGCTTTCGAGGCAGGTGGCAGAACCACTGAACTAAATCCCCGACCCCAGATGATTTTTTTTTTTGGTACTGGGGATCGAACTCGGGACCTTGGACTTGAGAGGCAGGCGCCGGAACTACTGAGCTAAATCCCTGGCCCATCCCAGATGATTTTTTAAAAATTATTTTCGCCAGGGATTTAGCTCAGTGGTTCTGCCGTCTACCTCGAAAGCGCAAGGTCCCAAGTTTGATCTCTGGTACCAAAAAAAAAAAATTATTTTCAATTTTGAGCCAAATTCTTGCTAAATTGCCCAAGCTGGTGTCTAAATTGGAGTCCTCCTGCCTCACCCTTCAAGAAGCTGGGATTACAAGTGTGCACTATCACACCTGCCCCTAAGAGGATCTTTTAAGTGTAACCCAAAGATAAAATACAGAGTACTGTGAATTTCACATTAGGAAGTGGTTGAGTGTTCAAGGGAGAGAATGAGGCATCTTGGTTGGAAAATGGTACCTGCTCCAGGGCCTGGCGTCCCCAGTAGCCACCTCTGCCATCTGCCCCCCCCCCCCCCCCCCGTGGCCAGGGCCTGTTTCCTGGAGTGTGCACTCACCGAAAACCCAGAAATGAGGTCAGTGCACACCATGCTCAGCAGTGCTTCCTGAGCCAGTACTGCTGTGGACATGCAGGTGCTTCCGACGGGGGGGCTGCATTTGCCAAACCCATCACAAGTTAGGGGGCAGTGGAAACAGAGCAACTGTGCTGCACCCCAGCCCAGGGGCAGCTCAGACCCAAAGCAGTTCCTGCTGCACACGCTGCTGGGACATCATCAGACAGTGGACCCATCCATCGCCTCCGTCTTGGTTGACTATCTTAAACATTTGGCTCTTAAGTGGGTGCTTTTGATTTTGGTTTCCAAAAGCAGAAGACTTGGGTGCTTGCTGTCCCGGTGGGAATATTTTTTTGTTGAGTCAGGGTCTCGCTATATAGTTCAGGCTGGCCATGAAATCACTGGGTAGCCCAGGCTGGCCTCGAACTCACGGTGATCCTCCTGCCTCAGCCTCCCAAGTGCTGGGATTACAAGCCTGCACCACCAGTCCTTGCTAAGTGGGCATTCTTGAGGTCAGTAGGGCTATGTTTCCTGGGCTGGAAACCTTGTTGAATTTAAATTCGTTTCCCCTCTGCTGTGTTCATAGCACTAGACTGAGTTGATTAATCATTTCACTACTTCCTTTTCCTTTTTGGTAATTGGATACTCACGGTTTGCTACCTGTACCAGTGATAGGAAATCTGAATTCACCCGGCTTCCAAAGACTAACTATCTTTCTTCAGCTGGGCATGGTGGCTTACACCATAATGTCAGCACTCAGGAGGCATGACTGGAGGATTGCAGTTCCCAATTCAGCCTGAACTGGGTAGAAAACCCTGTCTTAAAAAACCAAATAACTTGCCGGGGATTTAGCTCAGTGGTTTTGCCACCTGCTGCACAAGCACAAGGACCTGAGTTCAATCTCTGGTACCAAAAAAAAAAAAAAACCAAATAAATTAATACATGAGTTAATTTTTTAAAAATCTTTTTCAGGGCCAGGGATTTAGTCCAGTGGTTATGCCACCTGTCTCTCAAGCGCAAGGACCCGAGTTCAATCCCGGTGCCCCCAAAAAATCTTTTTCTTTTTTAGGGGGCAATACAGTATTGAACTTGGGGCCTGGTACATGCTGGGCGTGTGCTGTACCACTAAGCCACATATCCCTAGCACTTTTTTTTTTTTTTTTTGAAAGATAAGATCTCACTGAATTGACCAGGCTGACTTCAAACCTGTGATTCTCTTGCCTCAGCCTCCTCTAAGTAGCTGGAATTATAGGTGTGTGTTTCCACACCTGATGTTTTATTTATTTATTTTTCAGTCCTGGCCTCCAGAGCAGCTGGGAGTATAGGCATGTGCCACCATGCCCGGCAAGAAGTATCTTCTAAGTCGGTGTAGTATAATCCCAGCTACTTGGGAGGCGGAGTCCGGAAGTGGCTTGAGCCCAGAGTTTGAGGCCAGCCTGGGCTGTCTGTCTATGTTTTTTATTTTTTTGAGACAAAGTCTTGCTATTAGTTCAGGCTAGTCTTGAACTCATGATGATCCTCCTCCTCAGCCTCCCACGTTCTGGGATTACAGGAGTGCACCACC